CATTAATATTCATTAATGAATGATTAATGCTCCGATCTTTTATGGGAATGTGGACACCTGTCTATTGCGGTTTCAACCAGCTAGGATTCCTCGTGGCAGGCAGAGGTGAAAGACTTTCTATTCTCATTAGCAGTCATGTTCACCCTTCACTTCCTCCACCACGCCAAACAGTTTTATTGGCTTTTTCTCTGTTATCTTCTTCCAGTAATTTGCCTCTCCATGACTTTTTTGGCAGCAAGGGGCAAACCTAAATGACTGTTGGGACCACATCAGCAAATGTATGTATTTACTTCAGTTATACCTTCATCCTAGTCAAAATAGATGTAGAGCTATGAAAGGTGCTTATGCAAAATGGTGCAGTAGTTTGACTAAAAGTAATTTGTTTTATCCCAAACCTCATTTTGCATATTCCTATTCAATTCTATTTTTAAAAGAAAATTCCATCATTGAAATACACTGCAGAAAATGTTTGTGGGAGTAAACGAGCCTCGTCACATAGGCAATCAATAGGGAGATGTCTGTTTGTATATGATTTTACATATCTGCAAGCAAGCGGAGACATCCAACTACAAAATACTGCACCATGGGACATTGTGTAGATACCTGATACTTTCCAAGGGATCTGGGGTCCGTAAACTAATGAGTGCTCTACATGTAGCCATATATGTAGGTTTTTCACCTCTGGCGAATATGGTAAGGATAATTTACTTCACTTAATAAGCAATTAAGTGCAGTTCAATACAGCTGACTCCTGTAAGTTAAATATCCATTTTACGTAACTGTTTCAGGACACTGTATGTGAGAGAACACAAACGAGCAGAAATTGCTCATGCAAAATGTGAGAGGGGACGACAGCTTGTGTGCGATGCCTTTCAGTGCTATGAATTTCATTTCATAGCACTTTTGCTTTTTGACAGGCATACTATCCAGGCTGGGGCAGGTTGCAGTCAAAAAAAATCTAGGTTGGTATGTAACTTCGGTGCTCAGTGTGGGGGACGTCGGTGAATGCCACAATCCCCATCGGTGTGCATCAAGAGCTCGAGGCGCGTGAAAATTGCAATTGCCGCAGCCAGGTCAGCTGTGGGTTGTGTGTGGTCGGGCACCTGCAGTTGTTCAGGGCAAAGCGGAGGGGAAGGCAGTCAGCAGAGATTGAGAAACACCTTCAGTTAGAGGTACAACATTTGGAGGGCTTCAGGACTGAGTCCACAATGCAGTGGTGACCATGCTGGGGCTTGCACAGATGGCCATGGGAAAGGGCAGTAGGATGTACCGGCATTATTTCCCCCTAACACTTCTGCGTACCCCATGCAGAAATTAGGCACAAACTGCCAGGGAGCCATCCACCTTTTGGCCATAGATGTTTCCCTTCAGAAAGTCAGGCACTGGTATTTTCATTGCCTTGCGGTCCAGCGGTTACCACTAGCCGTAGATGGTACCTCACAGCGTGGAAAATACTGCTCAAATTCTGAGTAAAGCGAATTTCCTGACAGTCCCGCTGCTGCACAGCTTCTCTGCATCACCTCCAGCACGGGCGGGAGCCGACAAGTTACCCAAATGGCTGCAGAGTTGTCAGAAATACATATTTACAAAACCCAATCAGCCTGATCTCCCCAAAGAAATCTGATAAAAGAGAATACACAGCCATGCTGGTTTTACTCTGCTGCCAGGTCATTTCTGTTTGTGTTGCACAAGAGCCAAGCCTCAAGATTTGGGCCCGTATTTCCTAATTCATTTTGAACAAGAAAAGATTGGAATGGAGACTTTAGAAGGCACCGAGGCAGCATGCCACACTGGAGAATTTGTTTTGTTTTGCAGCCACTGAGACCGCTGCTCGAGAGTTAATTCATGGTGGGGGTGAAGAAACACAGTCCAACTTTATAACTATTTGTCTTATTTCAATGTAACCTAGCACAAAATGCAATTTATATAGAAAAAAAATACAGTGCAACAACTTTATTAAGGATTAATAAGCTTTATTAAGCATATATTTGTTTGCTGAATGTTGACTAGAAGCTATGAAAAATGTGATGTTACTCTTGCTGCATGTTTAAATGATTGCCTGCATATGTATCCATGACAATATCTATTCATCTTCTGTTCTTTATATATGTTTTTATTATAAATATCTTTCTTCTAGTGGAACATTTTAATATCAAAGTTGACACAGTGAAGTGCAAATTGGAATAGGTCAAATGAAAATCAGATATCTGTATCTTGAATTCATTCCAAGTAGTTGCGTATTGATAAGAGAAATCTGCTGCCTATATGCCAAGATGCAGCAGCCCTCAGTTACCCGTGCTTTCTAGTTACAGCACAGGTTCCACGCTCCACCTCCCAAGTCTGCAGTAAATACTTTACCAGACATAGGTGATACACAGAAATTAAATTAATCCGTGTTGCAGGGAGTTTGTAGGGCTTCGTACATATATGCAGCTTCAAGAAGACAGTGATTTTCCGTAATCATTTATCTCAAGCATAGGAAGCATATGCATGATTATATAATTAACAGAATATTTGTTTGTCAGTGTTTGGTTAGTGTGCATAATAATATCATTATTAGGCCTTCTGTGCTCCTGTATTATCAGATTGTTATCTCCCTGCTCCTTTAATTCTCTGTCTCTGCTTTTTAGATTAATCACTTTGTTTTACTCTGAACATTTTACGGGTTTTTTGACCATGAAGGGAATGGTTTGTGACACCAAGGCAGAAGTTATTTTAGAACAGATTCTAATCTTTTTGTTTTCTTGGTGGTTGTTATTCTCGTATCTGGTAATCATTCTTATAAAGTGGTGTTTTAGTCCCGAATCTTGTTCCAAATCATATTTTTAAATATCAGATCTATTCTAACCAGCTCTGCATCCCTCAAATTATCTTCACTGCATCCCTCAAATTATCTTCCTTTTTCTCCATTGCACTGCAGGAAGCACGCTGCCAGCTGAAACTCCCTCATCTTTCATGTTTTTCTTCTTTAGTGGTCAGTCTTGCTAGCTACTAAAGTTTACTGCACCAGACTTTCCTGGAAAAGATGAAAACTGATACAATATTGATATTTTCCATTGCGCTCATGAAGTTTAACTTCAACTAGTAAACACTGTCTTTCCTCCAATGGTTCAAATGTATCGGAAAACAATTTTCTTTCTTTCGTTCTTTCTTTCTTTCTTTCTTTCTTTCTTTCTTTCTTTCTTTTTGGAGAGACTGAATAATATTCAATCTATCGTCTTGGAAAAAGATGGGTTTCTAAATAAACAACCCGCAAGACAGTTATCCCTTGATCATATGTTATGGAAGATGTCATCTACATTTTCCCTTGTTTTTCTCTGTGAAATGTGTTTTTTGTTTTTTCCCCCTTTTAAGCACTCTCGGTAACAATCTTAGTAACCTTTTTCAGGACATGCAACATCTGTACAACTTTTCATGTTTCCTATGTATTCCACCTCCACTTGCTCTGAATAATAGCATTATGTAACACTGTACTCATTTTCAAGCATTGCATTTCTTTGCTTCTGAGATTATAATCTATTTTGTGTGTTGCTGAATATGATAAATATTTCATGTATTTCACCCTATTACCATTTTCTTTTTTTCTGTACACTGTTTGTGCTTACTTGGGTGAATGTCAGCCTGTTTCTTTACCCGGTTCTGATACATTCCTCTTGTTTTATAGTAGTACGTGTAGTGATAATTCTGTTCTTCATAGATTTGATTTGCCTTCCCTTTGCTCAGAGGCCATGCTATTTTGCGTACTCTACAAGTGTTATCAGTCTCCCCGCTTGCCTACTTTTGCTTCTGCGTCAAGTTTGTATGTGCAGGTCGCTAATTTTTTTTAAGTTGCTCCCCTAACTATTTGGGCTTTATACCCGCCCGCGCAGCAGTTCGCATTTCTCTGGTTGGTGATGCAACGCCCCTTGTTAGACACAGCGCCTTCAAACACCATGCCCTTTATCAATAAAGAACTTTAATTTTTCTCTTATCTCGCAGCCTGTACAGACTTGTTGCGTTCAAGTTCGGCTAGTTGGGTTACTTTTTCTTTCTTTCTTTTTTTTTTTTTTTCGTGTTGTTGTTGTTTTTCCGAGTGCATTGTGGGAAGAAGTTACGGCTGGCTGCCGGTTATTTCTGCTGTCAGCGCGCTGCCACCTTCCAGCCCTCGCCTTGCGCTGGTGGCTGCGGGTCCCGCGGGGCGGAGGCGCTGCGGGGACCCCTCTGCCCCGGCCCGGGGACGCCGCTCGGGGCACCTCGGCCCGGCACGGCCCGGCTCAGCCCCCTCCAAAAACCAGCACCGGGGCTGACCCCTCCCGGGACAGGGCTCGGTGGGGGGCTTCTCCCAGCCTTTTAGGAGAGCCGGGGGTGAAGCGGGGAGGGAAGTGGATGGGAGGAGGGGGCAGAAGTTTGCTCCGCTCCCCCTCTCCCCACAGCCCCCCCCCCTCCGCCGTGCACCTGCCCGCGCAGGCTCCGCGGGGCGGGGCGGGCGGGGCTCCGCGCCGTGCCCACGCCGGCAGGATATTGTTCGGCCTTCATCCCCGCCCCTCCTCCTCTTCCTCCTCCTCCTCCTCCAGCAGCTCCCCCCCCCCCCCCCCCACACACACAGCCGCAGGCCCCCCATCTGCCGCCTGCGGGGTGAGGAGGAGGGGGGGGGCAGCTTGCGGCGGTGTGTGCGCGGCCCTGCGCGGCTCGGCACGGCTCGGCACGGCGGGCATTGTGCGCGGCGCAGGCAGGGCCGCCTCACCCGCAGCCAGCTGGCTGCAAATTCGTGCGCGCCCGGAAGCCGCACGCCCTCTTCCCCCGGCACCCCCCCCCCCACACCCCGGGCCACCCCCGCGCACCTCCCGGAGCCCCCCCAGCCCGGCCCGGACCCCCCCCCCCCCCCCCCCCACACACCCCGGTGCCACCACCTCTCCTCTCCCGGCCCTCCACCCCCCCCCCCCCAACCTCAGCTCCCCGGCCTCCCCTCCCCCACGCCTCTCTCCTTCACCACCACCTCCTCCTCCTCCTCCTCCTCCTCTGCCACTTTCTCTCTCTCTCTCTCTCTCTCTCTCTCGCTCTCTCTCTCTCCCAGGACGCGTCGGATGATCCGGGGCCGCCGGGGAAGGGCTCCGGGCAGCAGCGGGGAGGCTGCGGGTTCCTCCTCCCCGTTTCGGGGCTGTATTATTATTAAAAAAAAAAAAAAAAAAAAAAAAAAGCGAGCCGGTGGCCTCGGTGTTATTTTGTATTAAAATGAGGAGGAGGAAGAAGAAGCAGCGGCAGCGGCAGGAGCGGCAGCGAGCGGTAGCGGAGAGGAGGCTCTGAGCAGGGGACGGCGGCGGCGGCAGCAGCAGGAGGAGGAGTAGTGATGAGTCAACTAATAATTTAATGGGGACAGAAACAGGGAGAGAGAGAGAGAGAGGAGGGGGGGAGAGAGAGAGAGCAGAGCCAGGCAGCTCCGTCCGGGGACACACACACATACACACACACGCACACACAGACACAGAGCCGTGTAACATCCAGCAACAACCACCAAACCGGCCTAAATAGCAGCCCTCCTCAGCCAGCCAGGGGAAACGAGCATTAAAAAAAAAAAAAAAAAAAGCAAAAGCAAAAAAGAGAGAGACCAAAAAAAACAAACCCCAAAGCCTACCATTATTATTCTTTTCCAATTATTATTTTTTAATATTTTTTTTTTTCCTGCTGGTTTGGTTTTTGTTGTTGTTGGCTTTTTGCAGCCTTTCTATTTTATATTTTTGCCCCCTTCTTGCGAGTAACTCTTCTTGGAGTTACCAGATTTTTTTTTATATTTTTTATTATTTTTTCCTTCGCAGAAAGAAAGACAGGTTTTGATTTTTTTTTTTTTTAATACAGAGGTTTTTGTGATTTTTATTTTTTATTTTTATTACAATTTCTCCCGGTTTTGGACTCGGAGGGGGAGTGAAACCTCGTCACTTTTTGTAGTGGTGGTGGTGTGCCTTGTTGTGTGTGTTTCCTTCCTCCCCTCTGTTCTTTTTCTCTCTCCCCTCCTCTCCTCGCTCCCTCTCCCCCCTCTCTCGCACAACAGCCCCCGGTAAATGAGAGGAGACAGGTCCTCTCTGCCTTTTTTTTTTTTTTTTTTTTTTTCCTCCCCGGACCGCAAAGGCGAGATTAAAAGTGGCATTTTAGTGCCTTTTCCTGCAATTTTCTCGACACTTTTTTTTTTTCTCTCTCTCTTTTTTTTTTTTTTTTTTTTATCTCCAGTAGCGATCTCTGGGGCTGAGGTTTCCGCAGAAAGTTTGGGGGCTGTTACGGTGTGTATTTTGGCGGAGGGGGAGGGGAGCGGGCTCCTTCTGTGTGTGCTGCTCCTCTGGGTGCCTATTGGAGAATAATAGTGTAAGTGACAACCTAGAAGTAGACTTTCTGCTCTTCACACTGGATAGAAAAGCTGCCTTTTTTTTTTTTTTTCCTGCTTTGATTTTTTTTTTTAATCACCCCCCTTTCTCACTTGCTCCTGTATGCATTGGTTTTATTTTTGAAAGGATAGCTAGACTTAAGTCACCCTCCACCCCAATTTAAACCTGGTACTTTATTATTTTTTTATTATTATTCTTAATTCCTCGTTTCGAGCGTTACACTTGTCTGATCAATTCGCTCTCCAGCTCCTTCTTCTGTTGCTAAACCTTGAAAACGGGCTCTCTCTAAAGATATTTAATATAGATATTTTATTTTTTTGCCCATTGCTTTTTTTTTTTTTTTTTTTTTTTTTTTTTTTTTTGCTCATGGCTACTCCGTTTCTCGCTCTCTATTTTTGCCCCTCCCCGCCTAGAGGAAAATAGCAACAAGAAAACAAGACAAATAAGCGAATATTAGGGGAAGTAGCCCTCAGGTCTGCTGCCCCCCCCTTCTCTCCCCCCCAAAAGGGGGGACCTAGAAAACATCAGTCTTGAACTTCTTCCTCTTCAAGAGCTCGGGCTGCAAAGGAAACCTCCTTTGTTTTTGTTATTTATATGCTGTCAAGTTTTGAAGTGGTGAGTTTCGGGTCGGTTTTGCTAATTTCACTCCGAAAACTGCAGTGTTTCTGTTTCTAGATAAGTACTTTGCTTCTTTGTCTCTTTAAAAGGTCACAGCGAAAGCTTGGCCTGGATTGCCAGAGCCATATGGAACGGATAAGTGCGGAGCCTCTCGCAAATGTGATTATGGGGTTTTATGGGGGAGGGAGGGAAGAGGAGGGGAAACGACTGGGGAGGGGGCTGGTTCAGGAGGAGAGGGAGAAATAAGATAATAGCGGCGGGGCTCCTCCATCGCGACAAAAGGAGACGCGGCACCGGCTTCTCATTGAGAAATCGCGCGGTGGGGCCGTACGCGTTACGCTGGGAAACCGTGCCTCGAAATCGGGCTCTGCTCTGAACGCCTGTGCCGAGAACTTGTAGTTGTGAAAGATGCCGAAACGCGAAACCCGGGGAAACTCTTGGCCTGGAAGCGGAGGAGATAATAGTTCCTCCTCCCTGCAAGCCCTCTCTCCCTGGGCAGGCCACGCTGGTTGTTGCTCATCACTATTCCAGGCTGAGGTTTCAGTGAACTTTAGCCTTGGGCATGGAGTTTAAATGAGTAAATTAGGTGTTTTATGTGCATGTAATTTTGCTTTGTAACATAAAGCTTTTTACAAGATGACTAAGCGGGGAGAGGATGCCGATGGGTGGGTATTCTAAGGCCAAGCGAAAATGACCCATTTGGTGTTTTGGTTGTAGTCAGGGTATTAACTGAGCTGTGATCTATCACTTTTATGCACTGTACATGATGTAGTGCCATTCTGACTCATGATGACTAGATACTTTTTGTAGCAAAGAGCCTTGGTGCATTAGAGTGCTTCCGAAGTTGCCAAAAGTGACGAGGATTTTCTCGTTCAAGGCTTCTTTATTATTATTTAACACCCCCTCCCTTTATTTTTTTATTTTTTAATTCCCTTATTCTTGAGAGAGGGCAGTCTCAGAAAAGCAGCCCTATAGCACGTTAGCATCGTCAGAAACATCGGAGGATGTTAACGGTTTGAGACTGTAATTCTTTCCTTAGACTGCAGTTAACACAGTAAAAGGAAAAAAAAATACTCTCTTCAAAAAGTGGCTAAAATAGGCATGTTTACCATTAATGAGAGACACGACCTAAAACAGATGGGATCAAGATGAATGGGAAACCTTAGCATGTCACCTTGCAGCATAAGGAAAAATGATTTTCTAAACTTTAGCTATTCGCTGGCATTCTTTAGGTTGCTCGTAAACATTCACATTAATACATTACCTCTTTCTTCACCATATCCGGAAAAACAGCGCAGTGTTCACGGGAGAAAAAAATAGTTTACAGAATTGACGTATATACCAATGACATAGAGTAGTATATAAAAAAAAAATAAATAAAATCCCAAGATGTTTAGACTTTAATAGCTTTGCTATGAATTGTGCAGAAAATGTGTTGAATTACTAGGCAACTGAAAGAAAGTAGCAATTATCAGATTCGCACCAGTCTTTCTAAATATGACTTCTCCAGTATTACTATTTGTGCTCGGTAATGTAAATACTAGTTCATAAATTAATGTCTAGTCACCTGTCCTTAGTGATTATCTTATATGCATAACATAATTGTGAGTGTAGTCACACCTTTTCTCCGTCAGAGAAAGGTAGGGTAAAATCCCTAACAATCATAACAGTATTGATGAATGAAATCATAACCAGAAAGATGTCTCTGTTCTCAGCAACTGATTGCCTTTCTACTTGGTAAAATTGATTCTGACGAGTGACAAAAATCCTTGAAATTTACTCCGTTATGTTCTAGGCTTGGGGGATTTTTAATGATTTCACTGGAATTGTTATTCATGGACTGAGGTTTCAAAAGTTTATAAAAAGGGAAATATAAGCATGCTAACAAATACCTTTTCTTAATTTGCTATTGAAATTACTTCCGTTTTTTGGTTTCACGTAGCTGTGCCAGTGTGTAACTTCGCTTTGCATCACCAAGGGATTCTTTATTTTTAAGGGTTTCAAATGTCTTGTCAAAATTGTGATTTTTTTTCAGCATTGTGTTTTGTGAGATGCTGATTTTCTTCCTTCTTCTTCTTCTATTTTTTTTTTAAAGAAAACAAATTACTCTTTAACCGTTAAGGCTTAACACCTTTAAATTTTCATATGCTTATCTTGAACTTTGCAAAAGTTGATAAACTTTCTGTATAAAATCAGTTGGGCAACTCAAAAGCAACCACCTCCCGCCACTGCTTTCTGAAGTTGAATGTTAAATTGTCAAATTCTCTTCTAATTTTTATTCTCAAGGTGTCGGGAGAAATTGTGAATGGCCAGTCTTCTACTTCACTAATAAATCTGTTGCTTCCTCAGCTAAAGTTTTAACAATCCCTCTATTGTTGTGCATCCATTTTTTATCAGGTAGACTGAGAACAGTTTCAGGAGAATCTTTTTCTTTCTCTCTCTGCCTGTCTCTCCCCCTCTCTCTTTCTCTCTTTCACACAATAAAAACACCCAGGTTTAATAACAGCCCCTTCTGTGAGATTTGTAACAATAGCTGTGTTGGAGCACATACCTTGACAAACATCATCATTTATAAGAGTCTTAGTACCTCTCAGATTTATAATAACTATTAAGATTATTTTTTTTAAGGGGTACTCTAGTTGGCTTTTTAAAAAAATAATTCCATCAGATTACGATGCGATCCCTCTGTAAACTGGGGTATGGGGTCATTTTTGGAGAATAAGTTTGTATCTTTTAAAAAAGGCATCTTCTCTTAGTTAAAATAGTTATTTGTTCTTCTTTATGAGCTTATGATACATATATATCTCTGTACATGTGCAGGCTGTGTACGTATACATATGCGCACACGTGTACAACATATATATTTTTTTTTTTGAATCATGGCAGGTGATCTTTAGAGGCGGGACTGAGTATGGATCATTTGAACGAGGCAACTCAGGGGAAAGAACATTCAGAAATGTCTAACAATGTAAGCGATCCGAAGGGTCCACCAGCCAAAATTGCGCGCTTGGAACAGAATGGGAGCCCATTAGGAAGAGGAAGACTTGGAAGTACAGGAGCTAAAATGCAAGGAGTGCCTTTAAAACACTCTGGACACCTGATGAAAACTAATATTAGAAAAGGTAACACTTTTGTTAATTCTGCATTTGAGAAATATGAATTATAATATTGGGGGGGGGGGAGAAGCATACTTTTGCAGACTCTACTTCATTTATATTTCAGGATTAAATCTCCATTCTAAAATACTGTATATTCCCAACTCTGATATAAATCACATTTGGGAAATGTAAGCTTCATGCTTGGGTGGAGCATCTTGCTTTACAGGGTGGAGTCTGATTTTTGTTAAGGTAAAGGCTAGCTGCCCTGATTAAAACAAATTCCTACATTGAAATAGAAGTAATATAATGCATTAATTCTTTGAGGAAGTGTTGGTCTCAGAAACGCAAAAATATGTAAGATCAAATACCGAACCCCTGAAACAAATTCTCGCCTTTCCTCTTAATGATGGTCCAAGCTTGGAAGGGCAGCACTATTTCCATAACAGTTGCAAGTTGGTTGAAAGGAGAGTGTATAAATCTTTAGGTATCACATTGGAAAAGTCATTTATGATGTCAATCTTCGCAGTTTATTTTCTTAAGTACAATTCATTATTGAACAATGAACAACTTGGGTGTCATATTTTTCAGTGGCTGGTTTGCTGTAATTAGACATTTACACAAGGAAAAGGCACATTTAGAATCACTGATGTTTGTATATAGATGGCTTTTGTTTGCATTAAAAATACTTTCAATGGACAATAATCTATAAATTTTACATACCAGAATATAGAAACCTTTTTTAACATGTTCTGCAGGCTTGCTAATTTAAATCAAAAGATGTTGTATGTAATTTGGCATTTGTATTAAAACAGCCTCTACTTTTCTTAGTATAATCAGTATATGTTTGTAATCCAGATTTTTCTTGCATTTGCTAAGCAAAGTGCAAAATCCAACCAAGACTATTAAACGCACAAAGTTAGAAGGCAGAGGAATTTCATTGTGTCTGATGCATAACATTTATCGTACAATCATTTATTTTTTCCTCGGTTTGGCGAAAACAAAGAATATATTGATCCTGAAATGAACAGACACAGCAGTCCGTATTGTTAGATCTTTATCTATTAAAAATGGAAAAACAGCACTTCAGCAAATTCTTTGGCCTCTGCTCATGATTACCCTATTTATTGATTGTTTGCCAAGAATGTATGCATCTTAAGAAAGCCAGGGTAAGAGCATTAAAAATATAATTTATTACGGCTTTTCAAGCAGAGTGCATTAATATTGTACAGTGAAGCAGTGGGGCTATATAAAAAGGACTTTCTGACGCCTGCAAACATATAAGTTCCATAAATTCCTAAATAGGAGATTTCAGCTGTCTCTGGTATTATGTGATATTTGCACAGCAAACTTTAATGCCAGGACAGTTTTAGACAAGGATTCTACAGACTTCACTGCTCCTTATGGCAGACGTGCTGTTTACACAGACTCGTAAACCTTCAGCAAAAGCTCTAACACTGCCTTCAGGTTTAAATCATGCTGTATTTTTAGCAGCGAGCACTGACCAGTGCTCTCCCCTTTAATACTAGAAGGTTATGGAGTTGCTGCACTTGGAGGTCTTGCCAAGCACTAGCAGGAGAGATCAGCCAGCTGAGGTTGTGCTCTCCTGTACAACATTTTTCACATTAACAGAAGGACACTAGTGACAGTTTGCTAAAAGATTTAGTAGCTTGATTTGTAGTCAGATGATACCTGTGTCACAGTACCAGGATCCACCTTTGCTAAGCTACTCTGGACATCAAAATTTGGCCAGGAGTGTCTCCTGTTTTGTTGAAAGTACTACATTTTTCTGAATGTTGTAACTCCTGAGACCGCATACCTCTCAAAAACTGTGCTGACATGCAATGCAGTACCTGTGCATTGCTAGTTTTGTGTCTGATCATAACCTGATTTGTAGGAACTGATAAGGAGAAAGACAAATCTGTCTTGGCTGTTTTTGAGTGTATATGCACTGTTTGCTAAAATGAAGCTTTGTTTACATTTCATCTTCAGGTATTAGCAGTGAAACCACTTAAGAATTTTGAGCTCTTTCTTTCAGTCAGATGGTAGCAGGTGAAACATCAATTGTAAGAGTGTGAAAGGAAGGGGGGGAGAAACAGCCAAAACCTTTCTGCAGATGAAGTGTGTGTGTGTGTATGTGTGTTGGAAAGCTCTCCACAGCTTAATTAAAACCAATGAAGAAATCACCAGTTTGCACGTACTGCTCTTGCTTTGGTCTTCTCTCCCTTCCTGACCAGTCTCGCTGAGATTTAAAAAAACAAGACACAAAACACACACACACACATACACACACACACACACACAAAGGAAAAAAAAAAAAAAAAGAAAAAGCTCCTTCCTGCACTACATAAATATTGGCAAGCTTTTAGTCTTGTCTTTCATGCTGAGCCTATTGGGCAAACTGGAGTGAGTTTGTGAGCTTTTCCAAGCGAGCCTGAAGGGGTTTGTTTGCCAGAGATTGACTCTCTGGTGAACAGATGTAGTTTAAATATACAAGCTTAAAAGGTATCTTTTTTACTGTGATTTCTTGCTAGATGTTATGGTACAAGTCAGCGGACGTGATCTTAAAGCATTTCTGTTGTCAACAGTAAATCTTCCTTTTCAGCTGCAAGATGCCTTGTGCACCGGAGCAGGTTAGGAGGCTCTGTCAGTCTAGAGGGCAGTGGTTATAGAGGCATTAACATTGTAGGACTAATTGGAGTTCCTGGGTGCCCTGTTAAAATAACCCTTGTCATCATTTATGCTAAAGATGATACCCCTCTGGCAGGCTGCCATAAGGCGGTTCAGTACATCTGCTTTTAACCCTTTGGCTTTCTGTCGCCGGGAGATCCTAACCTGGGACAGGGCCGGGGCAGAAGGCTGAGGGGTGAGGTGCCTCTGGCAGGCTGGGAGGGGTTCTCTCAGCGTCTGGAAACCCGGCTGCCGGCAGGGATGATTTCCCCAAAAAAGCCTGGGCTGTTCGTTAATTTTCCTGTCTGCTGTCAAAAAGGAATTAAAAGAATAAAATAAAATCCAAAAGGAAGGGAAAGAGGTGGTTTGCTCAATATTCTGTGCGGCAGAGGGAAGGTTCTGATGTGAAATGCTACAAAACTAGAAATTAGTAATTAGTTTCAGGCATACCAAAATAGCAGTGAACACCAGGAATGTTGAATGTAAGTGCATGAGGCAACAAAAAGAAAGCCCCGGCTGCAGGTACACTACTCAAAACTGAATTGAAATCACAGTTTGTTTCTTAAAGATGTGAGTGAAAGCAGTGCTCAAGTGCACTCAATGAATGAGGCACGAATTAGTGTTAACTTTTGCCTTGATTCCTTGTGTGCCCTTTTCAGAGCAAATGTATAACATGCGAGGTGATTTGTTGTTGATGCTGAAGGTAATGAAATATTTTTGGCAGAACCAAGAAAGTTTTAGTGTTAACGAACAAAATTATGTGGCTGGTACTAAAATGGCATACACTGAAGACATCTGCAGTGTGTATTTAGGTTCTCGTGCTGCCTGCTACTCACAACAAATCAGGCAGGACAGAGAGAATCAACTTCTCTTCAGTCAACCTTGTGATTTCTATAGCAGGTAATTCTTTCATCTGTACCCCATCAAGGAAGGTAAATTTGCATTTCTGCTTTTCATAGAGAGGGGTGTTTTGCAGAACTTTCTCTTTTTCGGGGAGAGCGAAGGGAAAGGACTCAGGGAATATGTTTATCAAATATTTGTGATGATTCCTGATGCCTCGTCTGCCTGTTCATACAGGTTTTATTTACATAATGCTTTGTAGACCCACCTACTCTACTATAACTCCAGTTTAATACGTAAAATTTATTTTTTTTTTAACAGGAAGTATGCTTCCAGTTTTCTGTGTAGTGGAACATTATGAAAATGCCATTGAGTATGATTCTAAGGAGGAGCATGCAGAATTTGTGCTGGTGAGGAAGGACATGCTTTTCAACCAACTGATTGAAATGGCATTGCTATCACTCGGATATTCTCACAGCTCTGCTGCCCAAGCAAAAGGTAAATAATGCTGGGAAATTGTACAATGAATTGTGCTTGTTTGGGGGGTCCTGGGGGAGGGGCAGGATTTCTTTCAGGAATGAGATGCGGGTTTCACTTCTTAAACTTCTTGCAAATTCTGTCTCTGTTGCTTTTTTTTTCCTTAGTGTATTTTTGTTAGCACATGTTTTGTTCATGTGGAATGTTGAGGTAGACACTTTTTTCTTTATTTTTTTTTTTTTAAGAAAAAAAGACTTCAACTGAATCATTAGTATGCTTATTGACCTTAATAATCTGCTCCACTGAGGATCCACAAGGAAGTGTAAAGCATATTTGAGCAGATGGACTGTTGAGAGTCAACTTGCATTTATGACTGAATATCCAGCTCTGTTTCTTTTATTTTGTTCCCGATGCTTTTATAGACTGCAAAGTATTTTTTTTAACTCAGTCCTTGCATTACAAAATCCTTTATAATTTGTAAAGAAGGGTAACTACTATGTTACATCCTATTGAATTAATCATAACTTGAGGAAAATATGCTTCTATGTGTATTAAAAAAATCTCTATTATAATGCATTTGTATAATTTCACAATACATATAAAGAATGCCCTTGGTGATGTGTGAGTAGGTGTTGCTTTCTTGTTTGTTTGTTTGTCTGTTTTTTTCCCTTTTTTTTGTGGGGGGGGGGGTAGGGGGGCTGTCGTTTTATCGTGTCAGATTTAAGAGGCTAGAAAATAAAGTGCCAATCTTGTTAAAATTGGTCATTTTTTTTTTGCCCCTAGGAATTAGCAGGTACATTACTTTTTTTGGTTTTGTCCTCCTTGCCCTCCCTCCTCTTCCAAAAAAAAAAAAAAAAAAAAAAAGAATATATAGATATATATGTACATATCCCACAGGGCTTATCCAGGTTGGGAAGTGGAATCCAGTTCCACTCTCCTATGTGACAGATGCCCCTGATGCTACAGTAGCAGACATGCTGCAAGACGTGTATCATGTGGTCACACTGAAAATCCAGTTACACAGGTAAGTTGCATACCAGTTCTGGGAAGTGAACTGTTACTTGTCAGCTCTCATGGTTAATATTGCTTGTATTTAATTCCCGCTGTGCTGTGTGCTCAAAGTACAAAGGCTTATCTAAATTCCTTTTTAGTTACCCTAATTCTTCTTTAACTTACAGCATACTATTGCAGAAAACTTTTATAGCTCTGATACATAGATTTTCTTTGGATATCTCATTAAAACTATATTGCATTTTAGTCAATTAAATGATGCATTACAAGAAGGCATTTTACATAAAGTTTACTTAAGAGAAAAATATTTTTGCATATCATGAACAGTACCATCTGTGTGCATTTTGTAAAAGAATGACTTGCTCACACTTATTGTTGCTGTCTAGGTTCTTACATTTCACGGTAACAAAAAAGAAAAAAAATGGTTAATATATTAATGCTTTTCATGATCAGTCGTGAGAAAGCATTACACCTTAAATTGTTTTACCAAGCGCATCAGAGCAGGAAGGTAGAAGTAACATGAAAAAATAGTCGCCACATGCAGCTGATGTATAATTCATGCATCAATACAGCAGATGTGTTGTATAAAGTAATTAACTAATCGGAACAATCAGGAGACCGAGAGCAATCTCCAGATGCATCTGCTTGATGCGCAAAATGAAATCTGTCTGTCTTAAAGGAATGTTCTGCAGCAGGATGCAATCTTGTAATAATCCCTTTTCTAATCTGTGTTTCAAATAGTTGCCCTAAACTAGAAGACTTGCCTCCTGAACAATGGTCTCACACAACAGTAAGAAATGCTCTGAAGGACTTACTGAAGGATATGAACCAGAGTTCATTGGCCAAGGAATGTCCCCTTTCACAGGTACTTAGCATAAAATGTAATAAATAATAAAGCACTACAGGCAACACTGATGTGAGATTTGAGATTTCTACAGACTGCAGCAAGTAGTATCCGTGGAGTGAATCTGCCAAAAATGCAAATTCATTTGACCACTTCATGATCTTTATAAATATGCCTGATTCATTTTGAACATAGTCTTACAACGTTTCCCATGGGGAGTTGTGAAAGGTTGTTTACACCACACTAAAATTGTCTCACAGCAAACTGGATTTTAACTGGTTTTTGTCTTCAGTCTTTGAACTGCTTTGATGTAACTACTTTTTTCAAGCACATGTGTTCAAGATGTTAAAAGGCTCTCTACTTACTGCTGTCAAAAGTACTATTGAATCTGAATGCTTGTTAGATAACCTGCAGTAGTTTTAAATGCTAATTCATAAAATGAGACAGTCCTTGGCATGCTATATGAGAGGGGAATAAAGAATAAAGCTCTTTGGATGATGTGTTGTTGTTGCAAACAACCAAAGGAAAATCAGCCATTTATTAGTTCTAATCAAAATATACCTAAACAAAAATGAAGTCTCAATTTATGCATTGCTAAATATTGAATTGATGCCTTCCTGAAGCCTTAGTCGTATTGTTCTTTTTTTGTCATTCCTTTTTTGAATTACTGGGAGGGAGCAACTTATTTTTCTATGCAGTACGGAGTCCGCCGGTGTTCTGGTGGGAACTTCATATATATTGTTACGTTTTAGATTTTAAATTGTATTTTGTTGTGGCACAGTGGAGACAGAAATTCAGTGTACAAATAAATGATGCTAATTGTGGTAGGGAGAAGAAAAAGGAAGTTAAGGAAGTTGAGATATTTTTATAGGAATTTTATTTCTCTTGCTCAGAATATTGGAGTTTTTGTCTCTGAAAGACATCATTTAATCTATAGAGAACTACTTGCTTGCTCTCGCTCTCTCTCTCTCTGTCTTTCCAGTGGATATATTAGCAGTCTGTTTTCCCATCACTTTTTTTCCCCTATGGTTAGATTGTTTTCAGTGATGTGGCTTCAATATAGGAAGTTTTGAAGTGGAAATAATCAAAATTATCTTCACTGGTTGCAAACCATTCTAGTAATACGTCTGCAAAGTTATCTTGTGCATACCTACTATAAAGGCATGTGAGCTTTTGCACTGCTGGCTTGTGGAGGCTGCGGATAATTTGGGACTATTCTCCATTTTAGTCCAACAGTGCTAGTTTTTACTTGATAGTGATGGAAAGCCAGTAAATTGTATAAAGATGGAACATTTCATTTATAATTGGGATTAGTGTTTCGCAGTAGCAACTTGTGTATATATGTAGATGATGAAGTGGCAAAGCAGGAAAACAGTTTTTGAAAGAAATACTTCATTGTATTCATTCTCCATAGTACTGGAGAAATTTCAGTAATTACTGTTTTTAAAAGATTTTTTTTAAAAACAGTACTGAATTTTTACATCATAATTTTAATGGACAAAAATCTTGCCTAATATCAGTCCTCAAAAACAGCTCCTGAGATTACCAAAACCCCAGATTACAGAACTCTGATTTGAGGCTGTTTGTTTGCTGTTTTTGCTGTTTTTCACTTTTTTTTTTTTTAATATAAAATAATATATTTAAAGCCATGAGATATTTTTTTTCTGATGTTTAAAGCATGCTAAGTACTTTTGTCATCTGTTTATCTTCACTGGTGCTGCAGTGGTCAGGTTGCTTGGGAATTTAAATAGCTTCTGCTTTTCTTTTTGTAGTCCGTTTCTTTAAAGACCATATCACATTAAGATTAAAATGTGTTTATATAATCTTAACTTTTGGAAGAAGAAGTAGTTGGTCTAAATCTTTCAGCTTTCCTACATGAGCAAGAGGGAAGACATGTTGGTCTTATAGTGCCTTTTCAAGTGACTCAATTGATATGAATTCTTCCCATATTTGCAGAAATAATAACTAATTGTATATCGCTCCTATGCAAAGGAGACTTATTTAAAGTGTCTGTGTTTTGTTAAATATATACAAGTTCGTGAATTTCCCGCAATACTGTGCTGCCGTAACAGAGGTGAGAAGTAAGAGCAAAGCAGAAGGTAGAGAGCAATTTTTCCTTAGAGCGTTTGTCAGAATGCCAGCATTAGACCCTTGTGAGAGAGGAGCAGTGGTCTCTCCTCTTATGTACTTCCGTGGGCATAGGTAATGCTGTATGAAGCGCTTCATCACAAATGCAAACTAATGCAGTGACACCGTACCATAACTTATTAACACTGTTGTGGATATAATTTATTAACCACAGAAAAATGACTCAAAGTGGAAACAAGATTAGTTATCGTTTTCTGTCACTGTCATTAGCAGTATTCTGTTTTGTGTAGGTATGGAGGATTTGTTAGAGAATATGTAAGCTGCTGTGCTCAATGCGCGGCATCTCCAAAGCCTAATTTAAGCATGGAAGACTGAGAGTCATCATCTTCACTTAGAATTTACTTTTTTTTTTCTTATTTATCTTGCATTTTGTATACTAGGAAATTGCTCTTATTTGTGTAGAACACTGATATTCTGTGAACTGCAAAAATACCAAGCACGCTATTTCTCTTGTGCAAGCATATTTAATGGCTTGAAAATATATCAGCAAAGAAACTTTGAGATACAGTTTGCATTAGAGTCTAGAAAACTTAACAGCATCTTCTACTTTAGGGAGTTTTCTTTTTTTCTTTTTTTTCTTTTTTTTTTTTTTTCATTTTTTCCTCCTTTTTTTGGCCATTTTCTTTCTCATTTAAACTAAAACTTTAGGGAGTAAGGATATGAACTATACATGCGTTCCTCAGTAAAATACCACTACAACTCCTACTCCTGTTAGGAGAGTTGAATACATGGACTCTTTTGAAGTTACTGCAGCTGTCTCTCTCTGAGATTGCTGTGGCTACCTTCCGACAGCCAGGTTTACCACTTACTAGAGGAACCCACGTCACAGGGACATGAATTGGAGTCCTTGGGACAGAATGGAGCAAAAACACAGCTCTCAATTGCCGTAGAGTTGAGAGTATAGGTATCAAGATTTATTCTCAAATTTTGTTATTAATAAGGCAAGGTAAAATAGTGCTACAAATTTTGCATGGAAAAGCCAAACCTTTTCTGATTTATGCTCTGCAGTGTATTTTCATGCTTTTCCTTGGGTTTGCAGATTTTATTGCTAGAGACTAGCAGCATATGCAGGTGCTGGGTGAAAGACTTCTTGTGTTTGATACGCACGGCTCACTTCATTTCTGCTTCCTCTCCAGATCTCTTTTGATGGGGAAGGCAACTTAGAATTTAATCTAGGGCTCAATTCTGGGCCATCTTGTGCATTCCATTAAATTGGTACATCTAGCAAGTGGCTTAGATCTCATTTCTCTCCTGGTTTGGTTCTTCAGTCTCCAAAGAGTTGTAAATAAATTGTTCTACCATCAATTCTTATTCCTAAACCCTTGCGCTGAAGCTCTGCTCTACCTCAGTCTATTGGGAGCTGCTCCAAAGTGATCAGTCAAGCAGGCCTGTTGCATTTATTTATTTAATGTTAATCATACCATCTCTCTGCTCAGCATTAGTTCTAACATTTCATACTTCATTTTCACAGTTTTGCTGTGTTTTGGGTTTTAGTGCACAAGTTTCTTATTACTTCTACAGTTAAAATAACTGAAATACCTATGATCATATCTATGCCGTTATTAATAAGGAGGGTTTTTTTGTTTCATTTTCTCTTTTGAATTAGAAAGGCTGGAAGTTCATTTGATTCTGGAACAATCGCACTGTTGGTGTGCTTTTGAACTTTTAGATGTACCCCTTGAGTTCCTGTTATCTTTTCTATGAGAGGGAGATAATAGGTCACCTACCAGACTAAGAGATTGTAGAGATTAATTAGTTTCTGGGCACAGCTTTGAAAATATGGCAATGATCAAATGACATTGACTTTCTAACTAGTATTATCTCCCTTGAATTTTTTCTACAAAAAGATTTTCTGAATCATTGCTCTTTGTATTCACAAACAGGTTTGGGTTTTTCACTTTAGTGTTTTTATTTGTTTGTTTATTGAACTGCTGTAACAGCGTTTGTGAAAACAAGGAATACTTTCCCATTCCCCACAGTATCCTGAAACATGAAGGTGGTCTTTTTATTTATTTATATATGATCTTTTTATTTATTTATTTATGGTCTTTTTCTTTATTTATTTATTTTCCTTCCTTTTTGCTCATCCTTTGAAACTGAGGTTGTCCTAGACTAACTCTCTGGACAACCAATAGCCAGTGCATTATAGATGAGAAATTGCGGGCCTGATGTATAGTAGAATGTGGGAAAGGAATTTGCAGGTGTCTCTGTGCTGTTTCACACGTCCCTGGATTAGAGATAATGAAGAAACAAGTGGTAGAAGTAAAAACATGAGCAAGGTCAAGATAAAGAAAATTGGCTACAGTGTTAAAGATGAGCTCTGGGGCAGTGGCCAATTGCTGGCTGGCTTGAGGTGCGTGTCTGAGGGTCTCTAACAAATTGTATGACATATTCGGGCATGTGGATGGTGTGTGGGGCTATGGGGAAATGTAGTAGTGAAAAAGGGCAAAGAAGGCCTTCTGTTCAAGAGCCATCAGGAGTCCGTGTGTTATGTCACTTCAGTAGAATCTCATGGTTGCATCTTTTCAATGTATTTTGTAGGAGACGTGAAATATTTCCATGGAATATATCCAAAGTCTGTGGTACTTATGCACATAGTAGTTTATATGCATTCTACTACTATTTACATTTATTTTGAAGGTCTTTGTATGCCGTCCCTGTCCCTCTCCCTCCCCTTCCCAGAATATCTTTTACATAATTCTGCAGTTGATGACTGGGGACAGATACACGCTTGCAGTCCGTAAAATGTGTGCACCCACCAAACAAGTGCTGGTATGATACTGAAGTCTGAATGGCTCTGCACTTGTGATAAATATAGATGTCTTGACTGCATTTTGATCAAACTCCTGGTGCTGTAGTGAATGATTTTCTGC